TGCTATTCAAATTTTATATTTCCTCCAGAATTAGTTTCATTAATTTGTCTTCCAAGGTACTTCTTACAAGTTGTCAAATTTATTTCAAAACAGATTTTTGTAATATGCTTTCTATATCCTTTTAAATTCTGTGAACTCTGTGGTAATGTCTCCTAGATCTCGATAGTGTAATTTTTAAAATGTACAATTGATATTGTGTAATAGGAAGTAAAGGTCTAAAGGAGCAGGGGAAGTGGGAGGAGTAGGGGAAAGAAAAGAAGGGAAAAAAAATATATGAGAAAAGGAAAAAAATGAGAACAAAGTCTTTGCAAATAGGCAAGGTTGGAGAGGGTGAAGGAAGGGCAGGGGAAGGGGAAAAAAAGAAGAACCAAGATACTCATGTAATGGTACAAGATTCCAATGATGTATGTAACTATATTTTATACCTAAAATGTACCAATAAACTTAATAGGGAAAAAAAGCTATGACTGAGAATCCTCAGCACTCCAAAAAAAAAAAAACCCTGCACATACACTCCTGTCCTTTAAGATTTAGCATCAAAATGTACTTTGCACACAAAGCACAAACACAACTGAGAAGTCTAAATACAAACTGAAAAATAACCCTTGTTTCATTCAGCAATTTCTCCTTTTAGCTCTTAAGTATAACCATAGAGAAGTATCTTAGCACTGGATAATTCATAAGCAACAACCTTGGTAGTGACATTCTAGATAAAGTTTTTTCCACTCATAATTTATCAAATTTTGCTTCCTATGCTAAAAACTTTCTAGGTATTTCTTCACTGAACTTCTCATTCATTTCTTTTTCATTTTCAGTACCGGGGTTCAAACTCAGGACCTTGCACTCGCCAGACAGCCACAGCACCACTGAGCTAAATCCCTGGCCCTCTAGTTAATTTTTATACTAGTCTGAAAAGTTCAGATAAAGAACTTTTTTATCTTATATACCTCAAAACAATGTAAACCTTTGCCAAGTTTTTAAGAGAAATTCTTTAATTTTGTGCCTCCTCATACATAAGACTTACAGATAGTGAGATTGGTGAGAACTTACCACTTCTGTGAATTCATTACTTCCCAAATCCAGTCTTTCCAGCTGGGTCAGTCTGTTCATGGTTCTATTCACAGTAGAATAATAAAGAGTTAACTACATAAAAGTATTACATAGCAGCTTTCAAATTTCACAGTTTAAAATACACTTATGTAATGACGTATACAGGCTTTCACATGTAGGCAAACAAAAATGTGAGTTTTCTAAGAAAAATACTACAAATGCTATATAAAATAAATTATCAATTATTTTCTAATTTTGACATCTGATCAGTCTTCTCTTTTCTATTCCATTTTTTTTTTTTTGGTATAGGGGATCAAACTCAGGACTTTGAGCTTGAGAGGCAGGCAGTGGAATCACTGAGCTAAATCCCCAGCCTCTTTTCTATTCCTTTTTTTTTTTGGTAGTGGGGATGGAACTCGGGTCCTTCAGCTTGCAAGGCAGGTGGTGGAAGCACTGAGTTAAATCCCCGGCCCCCTCTTTTCTATTCTTAAGAAAAAACTGAAATAAATTTATACCCAAAGGCCAGAATATATATAATGGGATTCAGTTTTTCCTTAGATTAAATTTTTACACAGTTTAAATCAGCTGATGAGTTAAGACTATATGGACGATCCACAGTCATTTCTGCTGTAATTCTAAGTCTTTTTCAAGATGGTTCATGTATGATAAAATTTTGAGATAACTGTAACTGAAAATCTTCAATGCTAAAAACAGTAAGTTACATTGTTCTTCACATAGTTAAATTCTGTAATATTTTTTAAAACTTCTATTAAGAATCACAAATAGAATTAGATATTTATTTTAAATTAAAGCAACAATATATCATTTTAAACAACCCATTTAATATCATCACTTCCCTGTAACTAGAAGAACCAGAAAAAAAAAATGAACTTGTTTGGTAATAAAATAAACCATGCTGCATTTTGACTTCTCTTCCACAAAGGTACCATTTGAAACTAAACTGCTAATTAATTCAAACGATTATTTATGCTCTTAAATTGCTTTTTTTAGAAAAACTCATTACTTAATACATTGGGATACTAAGAACTCAGGTAAATTTTACCTGAATAACTTTATTAAGAAATACCAAGATATAATAACTATTTTGCTACCATTAGTATTATACATTCCTATGTTAATACTTTGGAAATGAATTTCATTTAAGATTCAAGATCACCTTAAATTATGGCAAAAGAAAACAAACTATTTCTGAAAATTTAACAGCAAGTAAAATAAACTCAAAACACTTCTCCAGGTTTTTTTTTAAAGATGGAACTTTTCACAAATTTGCTTGTCATCTCTGTGGAGGGGCCACGCTAATCTCTGTATCACTGCAATTTTACTATTTATCAGTGCTGCCAAAGTGAGGATGCTCCTGTTTTTTCATGAAAGAATATAAGAACATACCTCACCTCACAGGGGACAAGAACAAAACAATAATACATTTCTTGGTTCAATATTGTTATAATGACAAGATAACAAAATTCACATGTAATAATTAAACACTTGATAACAATGAGGGCAATTTATAAAAATAAAGCTGACTGTTTTGGAAGAGGGCACAAAATTGAAAAGCAACGTGTTTTTAAAAATTCAATCACAGTGTCCTAGAAAAGTTAAGTTTTAAATAAAAGATTTAGGAGCCAGGTGTAGTGGTGCACACTTAAAATCCCAGGAGTTGGGAGGCTGAGGCAGGACAATCACCACAAGTTTGAGGCCAGCCTGGACTATATAATGAGTTCAAGACAAGCTTGTCCTACAAAGTGAGACCCAGTTTCAATCAATTAATAAAAGATTTAGGAAAATGTGAATGATACAAATTATTGTAACAGAGAAAAGGAAATATATTGTATAACAACAACAAAATATTTCCACTTCAATTCTCTGTAGCTAATATTGGCAACTTTGGTTCTACTGTGCTTATATAATTCAGAAATCTCAAATTAAATTTCATCTTAGAATAAGATCCAGCTTCCTAATTTAAGGAAAAAACAGAATCAATATCTCTCCGATTTCCTCCCATCTACTTCTAAAATTCATTTGTATCAACCTTTTCTCCTGTCTCACAGGAATATACCATTATTTGTGTTCTCAGCACAGTGCCCTCCAAGAATTCCTAAAGAGATATCAAGTTTCACTTAACTATGTACATAAAAGAACAAGTCTTTTCATTGTTCTAATCTGTAACCATAAGTCTAATTGTGCAATCTGAAATACATGACTTATCCAATATTTAAAACTGCTTATGTTTGTTTATAGTTGGTAACTCTAGGTTAAAGGTTTTAGTCATATATCTTAGATAGAATTATATTTACAAATTCATAGGGCCCAAGTTACATCCCTAAAAGGAGTTAAAATCAGTGAATCACCTTTGCTATCAGTTAGATGGTAAGCCACATTTTGATCCTCAATGTCCCCTCAAAAGCCTGTAAGGCTGAACCTGTGGCACAACTGACAGGTGGTGGAACCTTCAGGAGGTAGCCCCTAGTGAAGGAAGTTACATCACTGAGGGTGGGGTAGGGGAGCTCTTGAAGGGGATATTGGAACCCTGACTCCTTCCTATTTCTCTCTTTGCTTCCCAAACACCATGACGTGCTGTCTTCTGTCTGGCCTAGAGAGATGGGGCCAAACAACTATGGACTGAAACCTCTGAATTCATGAGCCAAAATAACACTTTCCTCCTTATAATTTGCTTATCTCAGGTTTGTTTGTTTGTTTTTTGGGGGGGTACCAGGGTTCAAACTTGGGTCCTTGCGCTTGTGGGGTGGGCGGCGGAACCATTGAGCTAAATCCCCAGCCAGCTCAGGTATTTTTTAACAGTGATGGAAAGCTCTCTAGCACACATTAACTGCAGGCTCAGCTATAGGAAACAAATTATATCTCGGTTATTCAAATATCTTAGAAACCAGTCAAGCTTTGAAAGAAGTGACATATAAAAACAAATACAATAAAACTATGTGGAAAATATACTAACAGATGTAAGAAATACATTGCCATAGAAGCTAAGTACAAAGAACAACTATCCCCTGCAGTAACTGGAAATGTTTCACTCCTCAACAATTAAGTCTCAATGATTCAATGTTAAAAAGAGTTGGCAGAGCCAGGAATGGTGGTTCCTGCCTATAATCTCAGCACTCAAGAGGCTAAGACAGGAGGATTGCTGTGAGTTCAAAGCTAGCCTGGGCTACATAGTGTATTCAAGGGCAGCCTAAACCACAAAGCAAGACCCTGTTTCAAAACAGTAAAAAATAAATAAAAATTTTGTAGAGGGTCAAAGAACAAATATTTTAGGTTCTGTGGACCATAGAGTCTCTGTCAGAACTATTCATCTCTACCATTGTAAAGCAAAAGTAGTCAAAAGCACCATGTAGAAGAATAAATGTGGCTGAGTTCCAACGAAACTTTGTAAATATAGGCAATGGGCCACATAGACTGTAGTTTGCCAACCCTGAAACTTAATAGTACAGGAATGTATGCAAGGTATTTTAAGACATTTGTTTAATACATGGCCAAAATCTACACTGAATTTTGAATTTGTAGCCCTTTTTGTTTTTTTGCTGTAGTTTTATCTTACTAAGCTTATCATTGAGAGGGCAGATCACTCCATTTCTTAGATTACAAAGTCAGACAAGTTCTATAGTTATCAGGGTTCACATGAAGACCTACAGATATCTCTATTGAGTGGCGTGTCTAGTATGTGAACTTGGGACTCAGATCAGTGTGAAAGATGAAAACACATCAAAACTATGGTTGGAAGTGCATCTGAAGAAGGCAAAGCCTCAAGATGGTCACAGCTGCCAGACATATGTACATAGTTCCCTAAGGGACAAGCAGAACTTGAAACTACTATTGTACTGTAATTAGTACCATCCAGTCCATTAAGTCCAGATAGCATCTGACACCCAGAGTGGGTGACCAGAACACCTGAACCCATCCCTCCCCAAAATGTTCCTGTTTTAAAAATCATAAATAAGCCAGGGTTAATGACATCAGCCATATAAACCTTGCTACATGCCCCACTTCTCTACTGGATCAATATAAGCTAAATAAATGGCTATACTGTACTGTACTTGTAATTCCTACTGGCTGATTACAGTTTGACCCACATTGTATCCACATTGTGAATTTGCAGTATAAATTACCCCGGACAAAGGGCCTCGGTGGCCACCCCATTTGGGACAGCCTCCTGTTTCTCGGGTACTATTCTTAATGAAAGGTTTAATAAACCTTTCCTACTTTTAACCTCCTCTGTCCTTTGACTTCATTCTTCGATTGGAGGGGACATGAACTGGGCAGTTAACATCTAGCAGAGTTCTCCTATATCAAAAATACTATTACTATAGTATTATGTTAAACACCAATACCACACATATGACCACAAATAAAAATCTTTAAAAATAACTTGCACTCACATTTTAGATAATAAAAATGTAACATTTTTTTAAAGACTTAAGGATTAAAATTTTTAAACTGAATTTTGAAAAGAATAGCAAGTTTACTTACTTAGGCAACATTTTCAACTGGTTTTCTCTAAGTTCTAGTATCTGGAGTTTAGTTAATCTGTAAAAGAAAAACAAATTATGTATGACAAAGGAATTTATAAATTAATGTCACATTCTAAGGTTTTTAAATGACCAATATTACTTGCACAATTTCTTTGTGCAGAGTAATATATTAACTACTATGCAGGAATAGGAAAAAACACAAAGACTGTTTCTACTCCTCAGAATTAAAGTGGGGTTTTTAAAAAGGTAAGCATTTCTAGACATTTTTTTCAAAGCAACAAAGTGATGTTCTAGTTATCAATCCTAGAGCATATTTCATGCCTTTCACTGAAGATACCCATAAAAACTGCTTACTACTGTAGACTAGAAAACAACAATACAATTCTAGGGTATAGCTTTGCGAAGGAATACATAAGAGAACATAAAGGACATAGAGGAGAAATACTCTGGCTCTTCAGTGACACACATTTGACTGTAAAATAGAAAATAACCTGATTAAGTAACGCAAATGCCAGATACAGGAGAGTAATCTTAACAAATATACTAATTATTTCAGATAAAAGCTGTAACATTAAACTTTAATTGGATAACACTTTCTCTAGTAAGTATATAGTATCAATTCAACAATAATTTGGTTTTTCTTATTTATTCATCTATTTGAAGAAAATTACTCAGGGACTTTGAGAGAGATGAGTGTGGAGGGATAAAGTAGATGCCAAAAACAGGTTCTCCTCTGTTTTCAAGAATTTTCATTCTATGGGGAAAACAGCTAAACCAATTTTTACATCAATTCAGAATTTTATAAATGCTAAGAATATAGCATTCAGTATCTCAACTATACAGATTATCCCCATTAAAAATCTTATGTTTTGCCACTTTAACAATGAACTATAAAAAAAAAATGGAACTTAAGCCATTTTTTTCTTTTTAAACTCTACTTTTGTCTTCTATATTTTATTTTGTTTCTTTTAAACTTTTACTGCTAACTGCTTACTTGGGAAAATAAATTCAAAGTAAAAGTAACATGATCCAAAGAAACTATAAAAATTACAATGCTTGGAAATAATTACAAAAGAAGATCATATGAAACTCTAATGGTATTACTAAAGTGCTTATAGTTTTGTACATTTTACAAAAGCTAACAATAAATGGTTTTAGAAAAAAACTATAATTTACCTGCCAAAATTAGCTGGCAAGAACTCAAGGAAAGCATCATTCAGATATAACTGGGTTAGGTTTAACAGCTGAGAAAATCCATCAGGGAGCCTATACAAAATATACCAAAATTTAAATTATGTTCATATAAAGAATTTCAGTCTTTCACTAAAATCTAATAATTTATGTAATCAGACACTTTTTTAATAGAAACTTATCTCTTTGCTTTTATTACAAATTAAGATTTGTCTTTTGTTATAACCTATTTTTATGTCTGTAACTTCAACTTTTTAAAAAAAGAAAGTGAGGTAGTATTTATCTTAGTAACAAAAGCTGCACAAAACAGTCAATTAAGAATCAGCCATCCTTCCACGGTGATATATGCACAACCATGTTTACAGTGTCACAGTTTGTAATAGCTAAAGCTTAGAAACAGCCCAACTGCCCATCAACTGGAGACTGAATAAAGAAGATGTAGTTTTTTTCCTAAAATGGAGTACTACTCAGCCATAAAGAATGAGAAACTAGAGACATTTATAGCTAAATGGATGCACATTGAGGCCATACCCTTAAGTGAAATAAATAGGACACACATGTGTAAATACTGAATAGTTTCTCTGGTATGAGAAACTAAAAGTGTCAATAAGGATCAAAATGTGTAAGTGATAATGTGAAATAGGAAGAAAAGGTCTAAAAGGGTAGGGGAAGGGAAAGAAGGGAAAGGAAAAAATATGAGAAAAGGAAAAAATGGAAACAAAGTTTTTGTAAATAGGGAGGGCAGGGGAATGGGGAAAAAATAAGAACCAAGATACATCATGTAAAAGTACAAGTTCCCAATGATGAATGTAACTGTATTGTATACCTACATGTACCAATAAACAATGAAAAAAAAAAAATCAACCACCCTTCAAATTCATCTTATCGAACATCAATTCAAAGAACTAGATAAAGAAGTTATAGCTGCCAGGCATGGTGCACATGTCTGTGATCCCAGCACTCAGGAGGAGCAGGAGGATTGTCTCAAGTTCAAGGCCAGCCTGGGCTACATAGTGAGACCCTGTCTCAAAAAACCAAAACCAAAAATAAAAACAAGCAATAAGAAGTTTTAAGCTTTGGCAAAAACACTGATTCTTTGCCGAGAAGAAATCAGTCTTGTGCACTAGGATGTTTAGCTGCAACCCTGGCCTCTACTAACTTCATGCAGTACAAGGGGCACATCTCGTTTTTGAAAACCTAAAATGTTTCCAAATACTGCCATTGTCCCCTGGAAGCAAAATAGCCTCAGCTTGAGACCCACTGGCTTAGGTTATCCACCTCACCCCGCCAGTCCCAGGGATTGGACTCAGGACCTTGTAGTTGCCAGACAGATACGGCACCACTGAGCTACATCCCCAGTGTTCTGGTTATTTTTAATTTCAACATTTGGCTTCTAAACAATTAAGACTGTACAGTTTTTTAATGAGCAAATAAGAATAATATAAAAAGCTAAATGATATTTAAGGTTATGTGAATAGTTACAGTATATTAGCTTTATTTCTTCTTTTTATTTGGTACGGAGGATCGACCTTAGGACCTCGTGCTTGTGCAAGGCAGGTGGAGGAATCACTGAGCTAAATCCCTGGCCCAGCTTTATTTCTTCTTGCTTGTGAAATAAGTTACAAATGTAGTCTTTGATACTTACAATAACAATCCCCCCCCCCCCAGCAGGATGGAACTCAGGACCTTGCACTTGAGGGGCAGGCATAGCACCACTGAGCTAAATCACCGGCCCTTAAAATAACGTTTTCAAATGAAGAGAATATATCATCTTTACATGTCTATCCTGGATTTTTTTTTTTCTGGTACTAGGGATCAAACTGAGGACACACCACTTGCAAGGCAGGTGCAGTGCCACTGAGCTAAATTCCCCAGCTATCCTGGATTTTAACTAGTATAAAATCCTCATGCACTCGAGACAAATCAGACTTGGACTCATTTATTTTTTTCTTTCCCTTATATTCTACCATCTTACATTCCAACTGAAGCAACTTTAGGTCTGGAAAAACTAGTCAAGATGGACAATATTATAATACATGAAAGTGGATTTCAACTTTCAATGTAATAAGCTATTCCTTGTCTTTAGCTTTACCATTCCAATATAGCAAAATTTAACACCTTTGTTGGCAGCCATTACTGACATGAAAGAACATGTATAACCTCTGGTATATGCTGCAAGTAATCACATGGTTTGTTTTTTTTTCTTCTGTTGTTTTGCCTTTTTGACCTTTCAGTTTATTTTGAGACAGGGTTTCACTATTTGGTTCAGGTTGTCCTTGAACTAACTATGTAGCTGAGGCTGGCCTTCAACTCATGGTGATCCTCCTGCCTTAGCCTCTGGAGTGCTGGGGTTACAGGCCTGATTTCAGTTTCTTTTATTTCAAAAGTTTGTGCCAGGCCGGGGATTTGGCTCAGTGGTTTTGCCGACTGCTGCGCAAGCACAAGGACTCGAGTTCAATCCCTGGTACCAAAAAAAAAAAAAGTTTGTGCCACTGTGCAAATACCAATTGGTGAGGAAAGCAAACAGATTCTACTTTCTTTTTTTTTTTTTTCGAGAAAGGGTCTCTCTATGTAGTTCAGGCTGTCCTTTAACTCACTACATATCCCAGGCTGGCCTCGAACCCACTGTGATCCTCCTGCTCAATCTCCCAAGTGCTGGGACTACAGGTGTGCGCCACCATGCCCTAATCTACTCATTTTTTACATCAACTATGTGTGAGATCTGGAGCAAAATCATTTGCACTGCTTGGGCACGGTGGCACAACTCTGTAGTCCCAACACTCTGGGAGGTAAGGCTGGAGGACTACAAATTCAAGCCAAGCTCAGGCAATTTAGCAATTTTGCAAGACCTTGTCTCAAAAAAAATTTTTTTTAAAGGGCTTGGACTGTAGCTCAGTGTCAAGGCTCTGGGTTCAATCCCTAGCACACACAAAAAAAATTACCTCTTTTAGTTTTCAATTTTATATTTATAATATATGAGATTAGAAACATTTTTAAAAGGTTCCTTTTTAATTCTAAAAGTCAGTTATTTGGATAGCTTATGAATAATACACATTTTTCACCTTTGAATATGTAAAGTAATATTCTGCTGCTGCTTTACAATTGTTTTACTCAGAAAAGTAACTTATAATTCAACTGAGAACTTACTTAGAAATAGGGTTTACACTGGCCTCCACAACTGTCAAGACTTTACAGTTTTTTATATTTTCTGGAAACTCTTGTATTCCTAGAAAACAAAAAGTGATCAAATTAAGAGAATGGAAAAAAAAAATAGTAACAATTACAATTAAGGTATACCCTGCAGATTTGGAAAGTAATTTATCAACTAAGCAGAGACTAGATAAACTAACACCACCAATGCAAACCCAACAGAACAACAATTTCTCATTTCTATTTCAGCTTTCCTTCAATTGCCTCCATAACTGTGAATTACTTTGATTTACCTTCCTTTTGTGTTTTAGTTCTTCTAAAAATCAGTATCTTCGCTGTGATAAGGGCACAAAATGCAGAACGTTTAACATTCTGTTTCACTCATATAAAAAGGACTGCTTTTTAAATGCTAGGTTCCAGACTGAGCCAGCTCCTAATATACATTAACTAACAAAGCTGAAAACAAAGTTAAAAACAGAAGTGGTGGGCTTGGGATTTAGCTCAGTGGTTCCACTGCCTGCCCCACAAGCACAAGGACCAGAGTTCGATCCTCAGTACGAAAAACAAAACAAAACAAAACAAAACAAAAAAAACAGAAGTGGTGGAAAATCTGTATCACACATGCCCAGAGATATGCCTAAAACCAGTACTGTCTGCCAATAATTAACATTTCTTTCCCATACCCTTCTTTCCTTTTTTCCAATTTGTTTTACATTCTCTTCTTCTCCTCTCAATATTTTTCTCCATATAATGGAGTGGAATGCTCACCATGTAATTCCTTAAAGAATGCAGTGATTTCCGTACTTTATGATGTACATATTCAAGAGATCTACTAGACCTTTCAGCTTCTGAGTGTCCCAAGTAAGGTGAAGGATTAAGGTTTTTTTCATTTCCAATCTACTGTAGCCCAATACATTTCCAAACTGTCATATAATTACTGTAATATTGTGATAATGTCAAATTTTGGTACAAGATTCTAGGACATACTTATTTCCTAAACTCATCACAGCAAAAATATAGTAACAATTTATGAATTAGCACCAGTCCAGAGATTAAAATAAAGTAGTACTGTTCTAATTAGACTAAAGAAATGCTACTAACTTTAAAATATTCCAAAAATGATGTATAGAAAAAGACCCTATTCCCTCCCACCCAAAAGGGTTGTTCATAAACAGTTAAGACCCTTTCAACACCACCACTAGATGATTTTAAGTGACCAAGTTTAACATAATGCTGTGCACAAAAATGAAAAAGGGCCCAAATTACCTAATACCACAGTAATAACCGTTTTGGTCAAAATTCACCAAAGGGCTGGCCATGTAGCTCCATGGTAGAGTATGTGCTTAAACACAGACAAATCCTCAACACCAAAACCAAAACACAAAAACACCACAAAAAATCCACCAATGGACGCCAAAATTACTGGGTAAAAAACATGATGATAAACAGAATATTAATGCAGTCTCAAAAGATTCCTCCTACCAAATATTTTTCTATTAACAGAATTTGGTAGGCACTATAACAAAATGCTTCAAAGTCAGCATTACTGTAGTGTTTTGGTTTAGGTACCATGAACTCAACACGCCTCATATGGAAATTATCTATCCTGTATGTACCAAATCAAGTATCAGACACTACACTATAAATTATAAACATTAAGATATGGTCCTCTTCATGGGAGGTTAAAATGTAGTAAGAAAAACAAGTATTTTCTCCACGATGGTTTCTTCCTACTCCAGCAGTATTTTTTCTCAGTATTTTGTATACCTTTTCCTATTCTTCCAGATCTGTTAATGTTAAGGCGTAAACAGGGCTCACTCTTTGGGCTTCTGTTTTTTCATATTCACACCCATGGTGAATACATCTAGTCTCTGGCTTTAAATACCCCAAATATGTACCTCCAGCACATTTTCTCTTGATTGAATTCCATGCCTTTATATCTCAAAAATAATGAGTTCCTGGCTTATTCCAATAAAGATTACATGGGCTGGGGATGTAGCTCAGTGGCACAGACAGAGCTTGCCTGGCAAGCATGAGGCCCTGAGTTTGATTCCCAGTACCAAAGAAAAAATTACAAATCTCACAGATCTCTCCATCTCAGCTGATAGTAATCTTATCCTTCCAGTGCAACAAAAATCACTGAGATCATCCTTGACTTTTTTCTCATATTCCACACTCAATCATGATTATGCTCTTTATTCCACCTTCAAGTATATCCAAAATCTGTCCAGATCTCACTATTTTCTACCTCTATCATTTCAGGAACTGAAACAGCATCTGAAATTGTTTTTGTACTCATGTATTTACAGATTCTTCCTTTAGCCAGACAAAACCTAAACACAAGTCACATCATGCTCTGAATAATTTAGTCAAAATTTTCCACATGATTTTGCTCTGAATAAATATCAAAGTGAGTACAAATGCCTACAAGGCTCTCCTTATCTGCTCCTCCAAATCCCTATCTCTGCGCTCTATTCCTGTCACTTTCCTATCTTGCTGTTTTAGCCACCTTGTGTTCCTCACACATGCTATGGAAACTCGAACCCTACAAACTTTTTCACAGGCTGTTGCCTTTCCAGTGTACACTTTGCAACCTACATGACAAACTTCCTTAGCTCCTCAAGCTCTTGCTCAACTACTTTCTCAAAGATGCTTAACTTCAACACAAGTGTTAGCTAGTGTATCACTCGCTTTTCTGTCACTGGCTAAAATATATGATGGCCAATAAGAAGGACAGGTTTAATTTTGGATCAGTTTTTATTCCACAATTGGCTGGATCCAAGGCAGAAATGCCACAGAGGAAGGGCTATGGCAGAGAAAAGCAGCACAATTCATGGCAGCCAAGAAGCAAGAAGAACAAAAAGAAGAAAAGGGGCTAAGAATATATACTTTCAGGTCATGCCCCCACTGACCCAACTCCCATCAGGCCCTACTTCCTTTTTTTTAAAAAATGTGAACAATATATTTCCAAAGAAAAATGATCACATCATAACTAGTTCAAGAATTATTCTCATTACATGGATAATTTGGAGAGGCCCTACCTTTCCACAGCACACTGTTATGATTAATCCACTGATGAGTACAGAGCCCCCATGATCCAATCACTTTCTGAAAGTCCCGTTTTTTTAGTACCTGAGATTATCCAGGATTTTTTTTTTTTTTTGGTACTGGGGATCAAACTCGGGACCTTATGCTTGCAAGGCAGGCGCCAGAACCACTGAGCTAAATCCCCGGCCCAATCCAGGATATTTTTTATATAAACTGTAGCACAGCTAGTCTACAAAGATGCCTCATTTTGTCCATATAAAGAACATGGACCTAAATTTTATCACAACCTACTTTTTAATTCTCTAAGAATTTCAACTGTTTCCTTTTCATTTTCACTTAACTTGGGGAGTTTATTTTTTTAAAGTACCTGGGATCGAAGTCGGGACCTTGCGCTTTCGAGGCAAGCGGTGAAACCACTGAGCTAAATCCCCGGCCCTTTTTCACTTAACTTTAATAGTGTTCCTTCTTTGAAGTGTTTGCGCAAACTTAAAATGAAGCACTAGGTATTACAAAATACAGCTATCTTCATATCCATCTCATTAGAAAAGTACTCTCTCCTTGGGCCAGGGATTTAGCTCAGTGGTTTCGCTGCCTGCTGCCCAAGCGCAAGGACCAGAGTTCGATCCCCAGTATCAAAAAAAAAGAGAAAAGTACTCTCCTTATTTCTGATAAACAAAATAATTCCTGATCCCGTCAAACTGGCCCAGTAATTCAGCTAGTCCTTGGTCCTGCTACAAACTAGCCTGGCATTCAGAGGGAGATCTTGGGGTTATGGTGAACTGAACTATTTCATGAAACATCAACATCAGACTAGGCCATTCTGTAAATATGTGATGAAACAAGAACAGAAAAAAAATTGTAATCATTTTTTTGGGGGGGTACCAGGGATCCAACTTGATCCTTGCCCTTGTGCAGCAGGCAGCAAAACCACTAAGCCAAATCCCCAGCCCTATCATTTTTGAACAAAGCCAAAACATGATCACTGTCCAGGCCGAAACATACCAAACATCCTTTTCTTTCAACTAAAGTGATCACTGTATCTTAACAAATTCTAGGTTTGGTCTTTTTCTAATCTGTTCTTTCTATAGATAAGACGTAAGACACCTAATCATAGAAATCTCCTGCTTCACAGCATCTCACTTGAACAAACTTACAATATTTTTCTTAAATCTCATGTAAAATTACCAAATGCTCAACTCCTATAAGTTTTTTTTTAAACATACCCCAAGATTCACAGGAATTCCTACCTATGAGTTTTTGCTCATTGCAAAGAGCAATAAACCCAAATTGTTGGACTCAACTGCAGGAGAGTTTTTCTGATCTTTGCCTGGAGGGCATGAACTCCTTAGTGTCCTAATTGTTGAATTTAAACTAATAGTCCCTAACAGTTTCTGCACTCTGAAGACTGATAACAAATAATACAGAATAAAAGATTGAGTCCCAGGGCCAGGGATTTAGCTCAGTGGTTCCGCCACCTGCCTCAAAAGCTCAAGGTCCTGAGTTCAATCCCCCGTACCAAAAAAAAAAGATTGAGTCCCAGTCAAAATAGTCTAAACCAGGAATTTAAAAATCAATGATTGGGCAGGGGATTTAGCTCAGTGGTTCCGCCGCCTGCCTCGCAAGCACAAGGACCTGAGTTCGATCCCTGGTACCAAAAAATAGAAAAAAAATTTTAAAAATAAAAATCAATGATTAGTTTTCAGAGGATGACAGATATATGATCTGGGCCAGCTGTATCACATTGAATAAGTAAGGCTGATAGTAAGGCCCAATGGATGCACACCCCAGTTAGTCTACATTTATTAAAACACTTCATAACCACTCAAAACATTAATTTTACGTTTCAGGTCAGTTTAAAACATGACTGGGCTTAGTGCTCACTATAAAGCAAATAGTAATTTTAGCAATTTAAACTATAACAGCAAAACACAGTGACTTCCTCAGCCATATATAATACTCTCTTAATGTAACTTCTTGTAGTTTTAAACAGAAAAGGGTTTTTCACCAGTTTACCCCAAATCATCACATTTTTCAGGTTCAAAGATTTGCTTTCTGCTTTGGCCATAAACTTGAGATTCACTCTTCCTTAAAATGAAAGGCCAGCTGGGCATGGTGGCACATATCTGTAATCCTTCCAAAACTCAGGAGGCTGAGACATGTGGATCGCCACAAGCTTGAGGCCAGCCTAGACTACTTAGTGAGTTTAAGGGCATAGTGAGACCAAGTTGAAAAACAAAAATAGAAACCCAAAAAATTATATAAATGAATAAATGAAAGAAAAGGCCTTGGTTAATACTCTAGCACTCCCAAATCAGACAAAAATGAATTACTCTTTCTGGTTATGTCTTATATTAACAATAATATACTCTTTATTTCTTTCATCTCACCTTACCACCAATATTCTATAAACCACTTTGACAGAACAGTTTAAGCATCATTCCTTTAAGTCTTCTCTAGAAGACAGGTCATATGAATACCCTGAATAGCAAAAGCAATCTTGAATAAAAAGACCAAAGCTGCAGGAATCATAGTACATAACTAAAAAATCTACTACAAAGCTACAAAAAGGAAGTAGTAAAGTACTGACATAAGAACAGACACAGATCAATGGAAAAGAACAGAGAGCCCAGAAATAAATCCCCACATCTTTAGTAGATTTATTTTTGACAAAGGTGCCAAAAATATACAATGGGGAACAGACAGTTTTTTCAATAAAAAGTGTTGGGACAAGTAGATAACTACATGTAGAAGAATGAAATTAAAATCTCACACAATAGGCAAAAACAATTCAAAATGGATTAAAGGCTTAAATGTTTTGGTTTTTTTTTTTTTTTTTT